ATTTGCGTGATTACCAGCACATAAAAAACCGTAACTACGAGAAGTTCAGCGCACCCCGCACACGGTTCTAATTTAATTGCAGCGCACATGAAAAGCTTGTACTTTGTCATGTTTGCTGAGACCGTCACTCTGAGTCATTTGCATAAGGAAAATATATCTGATCTGTGATGTCCGCTGTATTAGTGGCTGTTCGCACACTCTTGATATAAGGCAACGGCGAGTGCATCGAAGAGCAAACATTCCTCTCCGAAGTCAGATCCGCTTCTACCTTGTTCCTCTGGCGTAGTGACTCAACGCCTAAGAGGTCGGCTTCGAACTGCTGAGGTACAGAGTTCGATTCAATCGGGAGACAGTCTTTATCTTAGCCATGAATTTAAGGCTTGCTCGGTCGGTAGAGGATCGGATTCAGTTCAGAGTCTGAGATCCGGTCAGGGTCCGTCCTCACCATTTTCCTTTCCAAGGTTGATATTTAGTTGCGACATAACTGCTGCTAAATCTACCTTTACAAAATAACACATTATAGGCTGAAGGCACAGGAATAGAGATTAGCAGCCCCACCATTCACTTCTTGAAACGTAGGGCGCCAAAACGGCCCATCATGTAAGTACAAGGAAGAAGGACATTTTAGTAATTACAAAATTTCGTGTCCTTCTCTTTAATGTTCTTCCGTGCAGGTCATCTGGCCAAGGTCTGTCCAGAGGCTGAAAAGAACTGTGTAACATCGCTGCTGGCTATTTGCAATTCATAAATCTCTTACAATTCATCTTCGTACGTGAAATCCCGCACGAACAGCGAAGTCTAACTGAACTTTCAAAAGAAGTGGCAACAATTCTAGCTACGAAGTTTCGTATCGAACCTGCGAAGACCGTAAATATACTTTAGGTCTCGATTCGCCATTATATACTACCCTTCGGTTCTACGCGCATCTGGCATTTCGTGATGCGAGTTCGGCGAGGAGCTGGCGACGAAGTCGTCCACTGGCCCTTCATGACCTTTCACAAACGAACCCGTCAACGCTTTGAGACTATCTACGAAACATACGGCTTCTTCGACCATCTTCCAGCTCTTCACGCGACTCCATACCCGGGAGTATGCTTCGAAGTCAATAAGATCGTTCGAAGAAACATTCGGGAATCTAAGCTGTCCGCACTACTGGTCGAAAGGCGTTTCTGTATAAACCTGTCCAATGACGCGGCATCACGGACATGCGAGTGGACAGCGGACACGATGACCCCGTTTGACATGGAGTTCAGCTTACCATATTCGGAACATCAAAACTACAGTTGTCTACTTTATGCTGCTAGCAGTACTGCATGCAGATAAACTATGACGACAGTTTGACAACGGCATGTCACCGGATCTCGGGGGACCTCGGAAGTACCGCGGGACACTTTGTTCGCTACGGGAAAAGAGATCTCGCTGAAGCTGCGATGATGTGAACCAGAAGACCGATAGCCGCAGTAACAGTCAATGAAAGACGGCATCTAATGAATTTCCTTTGAACTTCTGTGTATGCATAATGACCTACTTTGTACAGTAAAGTTTTCTTGCACGTACGCACTGTGTTTAATGCTGAGAATAAGTGGAGAAGTACGGGAGTCTGTCAGGAGCAAGGATGGCAACACCACAAATGTTGACGGAGGTGGAACATGTCCGTCGCAGCGCTTTGCATCCGGTATATAGATGAGTGTCCGGATATGAGAGACTGAGAGTCACTAGCTAGCGAACTGCGCGAAGGAATGTATGCGCCCTCAAATCGCCCGTTTCTTTTGAAATGGAAGGCTATTTATTCCTTAGAAGACGGAATCCAGGGCCATGCAGTCTCCTGTGGTTCGGCAAGAAAAAGTACCAATCTGAAGTTCACACAAATTATCAAACACTGTGGGGGGGGGGCTAAGATCGGACGAGACAGTGGTATAATGTGTGGAGGAGTTGCACAAGGCCAGAGAGAAGAGGAAGATTTCCGACGACGCCGAACGTCATCAATCATATGCTTCAGCAAGCGTGCAGAAGTTGCAGGCATCAAAACAGTGGCCTTTATGAAGCCGCAAACATTGCGACAATACTAGGAGATACTAAGCATCTAACGGCTCGGTTTCGGTTATTGCAGACCACCGGTGCTACTTTGGACCGTATAGACAAGCAGTATAATACTGTCGACGTGCGGAGTGACGTGGAGAGCCAGGGAAGTTATCGCGGAGGGTGCATGACAATAAAGTTCGTAAAACTCCCATAACTACCGTACAGCACTGCGAACAGGGGACATCGTACAGAGAGTTGCAAGACTGCTTCTTTTTAAGAACATAACACTGGTGAATCACCGAGCCAGAAAGTGTGTAGGTGGGGTAACTAGCTGGGGCATGCAAACGCAAAGTGCCAAAAATATATGCATAAGATCTGGTGAGTTGGCCGTACACCCAGCAGAACATCTGGCATCGAGGTGGCGCTAGACACCATTTCCACTGGAATCGGTCTGGTACGCAGGAGGCTAGAGTTAGCGCATTGCTTCTATCTTTTGCATCCTCAGATCTTTCGCAGTCATTGCAAACTCACACGCAAGCGCCCATTGACATTAGTGAGAACTGGGGCGGTACATACTGTCATTCGCGGTGACTGTGTCACAACGTCAATTAGCCGGGGCAAGACCCAGTCAAGTTGTGGTGGAAACGAAGAAACGAAAAGTTTGCAATCGTTGAAATGTCAGTCCTCTGTACATTTTCATGAGGGACCATTTACGGAGCCCTTCTTCCTATGAAGTTAATGGTGGAAATGCTGATTTCCGTTTCCATGCCATTAGTTAAAGAGTACCTCATTTTTTAAACACAGAGTCGCAAGCCTAATATGTAGCCTCTAGTTCCTTTCCTACAGAGTGAAAAACTTATTTATCAACCTAAGAATTAAGAAAAGCTAATGACCTTGAAGGGGGTTGAAACCTGGGGACTATCGGTTCTGAGCCTGATACTCTGCAGACTCAACACCCAGGTCTGAAGAAACGTAACAAATTCCTTGCTCAAAGGAATTCGTGGTTAAGACAAAAAGTGCCCTCCGGCAGAGTCGAACTTGGTACCTTGGAGGTTCGACGCCTCTTTAAAAGATGTCACCACGTGCCAGCACCTCGTAGTGAAGATACAGCTGATTACGAACTGGTTGTTCTGTAACATGTCCAGTGGACATCTATCGTTGCAAGCAGCATGGCTCATGTGGCATATTCTGAGGAAGCTGAAATTCAGGATTGACAAAGAAGATCGAACAGTGGCTTTCGGCACAGAAATTCAAACGACGAACGGTCGCGAACGTCGAAGAACCAATAAAACAACAAAGTGTCGATTTGTTGCGACACATGAGAAAGTTCAGATGGTTGCTCGAAAAATAAAGATTAACATGGTAGAAGATTCGATACGGGGCCAGCTGAAGAAGGCAACATTTCTGACGAGATAGGAAGAAGGGATGGATTTGCTGATGACTCAATTAGCAATGACAATGAGGGCAAGACGATCGCCATGCAAATGATATACACAATATGAAAGCTTACTACTTGAAAAAAAATCATCAAAGGTTCTTATATTACCGAGTACCTTACGCGCTGTACTTGAAAAACTGGCTGGCCAGCAACGTCGAAGATTTATTTTGCTAGGTCGATCAATGCCTGCCTTCTGGTATTCACACAGTTGAATTCTTAGTCTTTTTAGAGCTGAGGAGGAGAGTATTGTTAGAGAAACGAAGACAGATGATAGAAACGTGATTCTGGTCACAAACCCATTATCAGGTAACCGTCGAGAACTCACAACGGCAATGTCATTAGCACAGGTGACATATTTCAGATGCTCATCAATGACAAGATCATTCGCAAAGAAGCTAAATAGCATGGGTAAGAGTACAGACCTTACATTATACCCA